GAGCACTAGCACATTAGCACTCCATCACAGAGGAGTCGTCGTCGTCGTAGTAGTAGTAGTAGTAGTAGCAGTAGCCGTAGCCGTAGCAGTAGCAGCAGCAGTAGCAGTAGCAGCAGTAGTGGTAGTAGTGGTGGTAGTAGTAGCAGCAGTAGTACTAGTAGTAGTAGTAGTAGTAGTAGTAGCAGTAGAGCAGCAGCAGCAGTAGTAGTTGTTGTAGTAGCAGCAGTAGTAGCGGTGGTGGTGGTGGTAGTGGTAGTAGCAGCAGCAGCAGTTGTTGTTGTTGTTGTTGCAGTAGTGGCGGTAGTGGTAGTGGTAGTGGTGGTAGTAGTACTAGTAATAGTAGCAAGCAACAGTACCACCAGTGGCAGCCGTAGTAGTCGTCGTCGTCGGCCGTCGTCGTAGCCTTCGTCGTCGTCGTCGTCGTCGTTTTCCTCATCGTCATAGTCGTCGCTGTGGGAGTCGTAGGATGCAGTAGGCAGGACGATAGTGCAGGAGGCAGCAGCATCAGCAGGAGTAGTAGCAATAGTTAGCATCAGCGGCGGCAGCAGCAGCAGCACGTGGAAGAACTAGACATAGAAGGACATGGAGTCTCCATCGTACTCGGAGTTGTAACACTTGTAGCAGTGCCCGCCGACGCAGCAGCAGAAATACTAGAACCAATGACGATAGGAATAGCGGAATAGTCACAACAGTTCTTAGTAGTGATAGTGATTATAAATTATCATGAGCATAACAGGAGTATTAGACCCTAGTAGACGTTGCTGCTATTGTGGTTGAAGTTCGAGTACGAGCACTAGAATGAGTAGGAGTAGGAGGAGCAGCAGATGCCATACAAGAAGCGGAGGCACGATGCGAAACTGCAGATGCTGACTGACTACACCCCCCAATATCGGGACGTTGGAGGTGACATCCTGCTGATGGCCTTGGCCAGAAATTGGCCACTGATCATCGAGACCTGTCCATGCAGCCAAGGAATCTAAGGGAAGGAGGCTTTCGGGTCAGGGTCTTGCGCCCAAGAAGTCTCGAAACTAAGCACAGCCACCAAATCAGATCTCGCTTGAACGGCCTCCAACTCCAGTTCTTCCTCCTGCAGTCACCATCTGGAAAGCCACTAGCTGAAAGACGAGGGCAGGGATTGGGAAAAGCAGAGCAAGACGAGAACCCAGATCCTCTGCGTAGTCTCTCGTCGTGGAGGCGCCCGGGCGGCCTCGGAAAAAACTTCTCACATCCTCCGTCCTCAGTACCCTATTCTCCGAGAGGCTCCTCCGCGGCTTTCCAAACCCACAAACAATCGCAGGCTCTTGCATGTTCAGTATGTACATCCAGGATTCATCCTGTTCGGCCAGGGCTTCAGGCCGTTGCAAGCAGCACGTACAGCGCACTGAATTTATCCAAGAAGTGGAGAAACATGAGGTGATGCATCTGTAACACTGGCTCCTTTCGAGATGTTCAAGCCTAGACCTGGAAACCTCTGTCGCCGATTGGTACCTCATGTCGCTACCCTGGAAAATCATAAGCGGATGTGCCGGGCACATCACTCTGGATCTTCGGGGCCCAAGCCCGTGAAGCTTCTGAGCCATGGTGAGACTGCGCTTCAGAAACACTGAACCCACAAGACCAACACATAATGATCGATTGACTGGCTGAAACTGACGCTCGGAAGCGCTCAACGTTACACCACACCCAAACCCCAAAGTCGGCTGAGTTTGCCACGTCAGCCAAAGCTCCGCAAAGCATATGCACATGCGGAAAAAGCGATAATCCCAATATATCGTGACTGCAAACAAGGGTTTGTCACCAGTTCGTACAGCTAGAGAACCGCAGCGTAAAGGAAAGCTGACTAAAGCCCGTGCTTCGTAAATCAGTTCTGGTTCTCGAATGTTCACGACAGCACTACAGTCAGTCTTCGTATTAACTAGACAGCCATGCGGAATTGAGCCAACATGCCCGATTAGCGAAATAAGTTGATTCAACACAGGTTGTGCACCCGTTCTTCGCTGTGGGAGAGGGTCGAAGACCATAGTATGACCACAGCGCAAAGTGAGAAGAGCCTCGAGGAGCCATTCCACGGTGTAGAACTCACGTCGAGAAAGTCACGGTCTCCAGTGCTCGCTTCAAACGACTTGCAAAAATCGCACTGCATCTCGGAAAGTCGTTAATCGGAGCGAAGTTATCATAGTTATCTCTGAGTGAAAAAACTGCAAGAGCCTCATACCATACACATCAGACGAGACGAACCCCAAAGCCTTAAAGACCCGAAGGAGGGACACTAGCTCAGAAGCTCGACAACGGACAAATCATCCACCAGCTCCTTCGGAGCAGCACCAGCCGTCAGGAGTTTCAGCTGAACAACTGGCACTTGTAACCTGAGGATCTCCAGACGAATGGTTCGCAGGACTCTGTGTGCTGTCTTCAGAAAACACGACGTGGGTTTAGGCTTCAAGGATGCTGACTGCCTCTTCAGCTACTCAGCTCATGATCGCTACGAGCTTGGGCTCGACCAAGCAGCCCTGCAGCTGGGGTACATTTTGGGGAGTCGCTGTAAAGCAACAACAGACACTGGGCGTTTCGGTGACAAAACAACACCCTGAAGCCCGGGGACCTTTCGGCCAAGAGCTCGCGCAGCTCTTTACAGCTTGCCGATCCGTGCATGGACAGGTCTGCCATATCGTTGCCTGGCAATCACAGCCCAACGTTCATGGTGGCTTGGCCTTTGAGGCCCCCAGCATCGAAAGCCTGAACATGACTGAACGATTTCCTAGCGAAAGAGCTCAGTCCCATGACGGAGCCTGCCATGCTTATGCAGCTGATGCTCAGGGTACCAGGCTGTAGGCCTCGGTACACAACAACCTCTAGAATTTGTTCGGACAACGTGGTGTTCAAGCGTTTCGTGGAGATGCACATCGACGCGTGTACTCCGTCAAACATGCTGAAGTGTACACAGCCCAGATATTCTGCTTGCACTCGCCACGGCAGTCCAACTCATAACATGTCCATCGCGGCTTGATGAACTTTCGTGCAAGTCGCAAATGCTTCCAAGCCACAACTCGGTGTCGCACTGCAAGTGACTACAAGCCGCGGAAGGTCCTGCATGAACCTGATTTTCCAAAATTCCGTCGAAGCTTCAAGAGACCGGCCCTAGCTGTGTGATGGCCAACAGTGCAAAGGCACAGGTGATGTACGAGCCCTTACAACCTGTCAAGCTCGCCCCAACGGTCATATGCGCACGGAAGGAACAGGTCACTTCTTGACCCTACTGAACCGAGCAAAAGCCTTTCAACCAGGTCGTACGCGACCTACCGACCGATGGCATGCAGCGGGTCGTGCCTTTCCCAAACCTTGCCGGCAAGCTCTGACACCTGATGCACCTGGGTCCGACCGTGGAGCGTCGCCGATTTTAGATCAGAGACAGCGTCCGAACTCTGAACCCTTCTGGAAAATGCGGAAGATGTCCCCCCTTGCCTGCTTTTGCTCTGCCCGATAGAGAAACGCAAGAGGTGCTGGGACCACAGTTCGAGGAGATCTTCGGAGCAGCGAAAGAAAACCCGAGAAGTGGACACTGGCTTCAAGGGGACCGGAGCAAAGCGCGAGATGCCGACATTCGGCATGAACAGGACGACAAAGAACTCGTGTTTATCATGCAGCTCCGGTGACCAAGATTCTCGGATCAAGTCGGCTGGGCAAGAATAACCCCGGGAACCGATTCCCTTGGCTCAACCAAGACATTCGCGAAGCAAATCTCAAAGCCCACAACCATCACGCCGAGCATTGCGACCAGGCACGTCATCCGTGCAGCGATCCTTTAGCGCCTGCCACGATGGAAGGGTTGACGGCCTTTAAATCTGAGACTGAGGGATCACCAGAGACACTCCCCCCGAGGCCTGGCTGTAGCGACTGAGCTGCAATGGCTCCAACCTGCCAAGTCAGAACCCAGGCCATGCGTTTCCAGAGGTGAAAAGAGATCCTGGCAGTGTTGCACTTCGGAATCCCTTCAGGTTTAGCAAGTGGCAAATTCAGAGCATGCTCAAAACCCGGCGTCGGCCCTTGTACATAAGGGCCTCTGCTTTCGGTTTTGCCTCAGACACTTCTTCTGCCAGCAGAGAAACTGCAGCTGCAATGCTTGAATATTTGCAAACGACCCACTGAAAACTGCTACCCTGCTGAACCCCAAACGTTGCACATCGTTGCACTGCAGGCCCAGGCCTGGAAAGCGTACTGAGAGCAGCCAGTCGGACGTTCCAGTCCTCCCGACTCGACCGCAAAGCGCTCGCTTCAATCTTTTTCTCCCAATTCCATGCCAAACCAGAGCAGGGACGAAGGAGAGGTTTTGCAGAGGTAAAGTTGCTTGCAGCTTTTTCGGGGCTTCGTCGAGGAGCTGGATCCTCGTCAGCGAGCAGACGAGACAAGACAGCCGCGTGCTTCTCCAAGACGTCCGGCTTCAGCCGTTTCAGGGTTCGGATCGCCTCCAAATTGACAGGCCCCATCATGCCATCGCGAGTAGCTCGCACCCGGTGGCCTATCGCTTTACACGCGGACCCCAGACATGAATCTAGTCTCGGAGCACTTGTGAGCCTCGAAGCAAACGTCATCATCGGTATCCTGCAGCCTGCCCGCGACCACGTCGGAGTGCAGCTCCAGGTCCTCAGCAGCTGAACGTGCAGACGACTGCCAGGACAGGACACACCTGGGTACAGAACACGCCCCCCACCCCATCTACATGTCAGAAACAGATCTGAGTCGCATGTCTCAACTTGTACCTGCCATGATCCCGAACCTCCAAGCCCGTACCGGTCCTCCGGGTCCATGACAGCAAGAGCCTCTGCATGGCAAGGGGCTGAGAAGGCATTAGGTGAACTATCTTTGACCTGTCGTATTTATGAAATCACTTTCGTTTCAGAACGCGTGAAGCTTCGAGTTTGCAGCACTGGCCGGTTGAACGTAACAGTACGGATGTTGAACTCCGCTGTAGCTCTCCAAAGCCCTTTGGTTGCACTCTCCATCGGAGGTTTCTGCCTCGTCCGAAAGCATCCTGTTTCTTCCCTTCCGTTCTGTCTTCGGCAGGGCCTCCAGGGCGAGCTTTCGCATCCAGGGATACCGGCTCTGGCAGAAGCCTGCACAAGTACTGAATAGAACTCCAGTCTCTGATCGTGTCAAGTGTCCATGCGATTATGCCGGGAGCGAATGGCCACTCTCTGAAGACATGAGCGATGATAAGCCTAATGCAGATGTCGCCGCCTTTTTGGACAACATTTCCCTGAAAGGAAGGTCTGTCTCTTTCGAGTTTACCTCCCGGGACCCCAAGTTCGGGTCGATCCAATGGCATCTTTGTTTTGCCAATCCTGTACACTCTGCGACACCCCTTGAGTCGCCGCCATTCGCCTTCCTTCCGGTTGAATTGAGATGCAAATGACTCCTGCGCAGCGACTGAAGAGACATCTTTGAGGCTTTGAGGCGCTTGCTCATGTAGGCATCGCAGCTGTAGGCCCCCTGTACAGTCTTGAAAGGCGAGCTGCAAAGCTACCTCTCAGGCTGAGAGCTTGGCTTCGACTGGCTCAGAAGAAATGCGAGCGGTGCTCGCGCTGTGCATGGACCATGGAGCTGCCCCAGAACCGTTTCCACGGGCAGGAGCAGTGAAGCTTTCCGCGCCTGCCATGGCATGCCAGCACGACCTGATCGTGCGACTCCTCCGCGTGCTGATTACGCCACTGGCAAAGAGATGTGATGTGCTTCCGCGGCATCCGCCGGCCAGTCTTGATGCCCTCGGCAATGCCGACCTTCAAAGCTGCGGGTGACAGCTCCTTGGGCAGCCAGACTTCAGTCTTCAGGCCAGGCAGGGTATGCAGCCACTCCGCGGGGTAAGAAGCTGAAGATCTTGGCAAACGAGCCATCAAGCAAGCCGTTCAAGATTTGCTGTGCCATCTGCAGCATTGGCCTCAGGGTCAAGATCTTTGGGATTTCCGGATGCTTGCTGGTCGTGGGTGTGAGGCTCGAGTCGACGCGTTCCCCACGAAAGCTTAGATGGATCACAGCACAGGACACTCTCTAAGCACTTGACGTCACAATGCGGACCTCGTCTGCAAGTCTGAACTAGCTGTACTTTGTAAACCTCTCCGGCCAATGAAAGGCCTCTAAGTACAAAAGGAAGAGGCAGAGCATCTGATCATCTGATCCCTGAACCTTTTCAGGGTCCGGAGCCTCCACCCAACCACGCGGATGCAGCGCCAGCCACCGAGGCTCCCCTTCGCGTGGCTGCTGTGCGATTTGAAGGAAGATTGCTCCTCGAAGGCTGAAGGTAACGAGACAGCTTCGAAGAGCTCAGAACCAGCACGACAATCTGCAACTCCTAGGTCTTCGTTCCTGCAACGCAGGAACCCCTTGTGGCAGAAATGGATCCCCTCTTCGGAGTCTTGAAGCATTTCACTGCAGTGCTCCTGGTTTCAGCGTGCGAAGACACTCCTGATAACCGCCAACCTGCGGACGCTGCCAGACCTGGACAGGCCTCGGTGAACACGACATATTGTTCACTCTGAGGGTTTGGGGCTCTGGGTTGAATTTCCTGGGCTGAGGGGTTAGTTCTTGAGATGCATGCCCTTCGAACCGAGTTTCTGGCTCTAGCTCCCACACGAGCAAAGCAAACTCGGAGCCTACTGGCATACGCGCAGCTGGTGCCTGTTCTGAATTCCACCGACCAGGGTCTCTTCTGCTTGCGAACGATCGACACATTCAAACGTATCCAACAGCAACACGGGTTAAGTACCTTGCCAAAACCCCGAACAGCAAACTCCGAATGCGAAAGCCGAGGGTTGAATGCAAAAACGCGGCACTACTGCCTTCCACTTCAGCTTGCTGGTCGGAGGCGCGATGATCTCCTTGCCCAGTTGAATGACCTGTGCATGAGGATGTGCAGGATGCTTGGGGGGCCTTACATTCGAGGCTCGTGAGCGCGCCGTGGCTTCTCCTCAAGACAACCAACTTGCAGGGGGGTTACACCTCAAAATCTCAAGCCCTCAGCAGTTGACCCCGGCCCCGCAGCCTCCAGCTCTCCACGAGAGCGCTTTGCTGCAGGCTCGCTACCTGCAGGTGCCTGAAAGCTCTCAGACTTGGGGTTCAGGTTGAGAAAAGAAAATATCGACAGGGCTTCAATTGGAGNNCTCCAATTGAAGCCCTGTCGATATTTGGCTTTGGCTTAGGTCCAGGATTCTGGCTTCTTGTTGCTCGCAGTCTTACGGCTGTGCGCTGAACGTTTCTTTTCGGCGAAACTTCCAACTCCCCCTTTGAAGTTTCTGACTCGAGGCCTCCTGAACACCACGCTTTTCGCCCTGTGATCGAGCTTCTTGGGCCCGTTGCCCGCCAGGCCCAAGCGATGCCGGTGCTGCGTTCCCGGCAGTGACAGTCTGAGACGAGCCAGACGGCGAGCTCGACAATGCTTGTCGCTCTTGCGCAGGATGCAAAGCTGTCGCAGCAGGAAGATTCGGCGTCGGATCTTTGCGAGAAGGCTCTGCAGTTCCTGGTGCAGCACCGTCCAGAGGTGTAAAGTGCCTTGCGACTGCATCGGGGTGGGTAGCAAGCCTGTTACACATAGTGTCATAATAGCTGTATGCAAAACTGGTGTCAACCTGCTGCCAGGCATCCCAAACCGGTCAAAGTAATAGGGGATGTGGAGCTGCCGCTTGTTCTCCCTTGGCTGCGAAATTTGCTGCAGACTTCACTCTTCGAGTCTTGACTCCTGTTCATCCCACCCTTTCATTGCAGGGGCTGCGATATCAAAATTGCGCAGCTGTCTTCCTTGAATGCGGGAGTGTGGCCCGTACCACCTCGCCACTTCCGGCCGGCCCTTCATGCGCGCGCCCCATTCGCGGTAGTTATCGTTGTCGACCTCGCTGTGCTCAGGTCTGGCATGCCCTCTGAACATTGAACCCTGAACAAAACCAAACCTCGAATCGAACACCCTTGAGCGCCGGGCATAGGAGCACTTCCATTTGTAAGCCTCCAAGATCGTCGAGTAATCATCGATGTCTGGAAGCCCATCTCGCGATGGGATGACCACCAGTGCGGACTCTAACCTCGAAGCTTTCGGAAGCAGAGGCTTGAGGGTGTGTGCTCGGGAGCGGCACGAGTAGGGCAGGGGTAACAAGGCGATTCGCACACCGCAATCGCAACAAACGCGTCTGTGTGGAATCTGGAACAAGGACTCGCACACAAGGAGTAGTGCACTGGCGCCCTGGATTCGCGCACCCGGGACTCGCGCACTGCTGCGGCGGATACACGCACGCACGATGCACTCTCTGGTGCGAAGGATCGGAAATTCGCACTGCGATTCCGGCACAGTGGATTCACGTACTGACAGCGCGCGCCGACACGATTCACGCGGGTGGCCGCAGGATTCGCCGGATTCAGGCACAGTTGATGCAGTGGATGCGCAAAGGGCGTGGCCACGCACACCGAGAAACCCGCCGACTTTCAGCCGGTTGGCAGTCCTGCTGAACGGAACTACGGCAGGTTAGGCTCAGGACTAACAGTTCAGACAGGAGTCTCTGGGGCCGAATGAACCTTATTGTGCAACGACCCCAAGCATAAAATCCGAAAGACTCGGCTCAAGACTGCATCCTTGAATCCCAAATTCCGAGACCCGGCACCCGAAATCCGAAATATGCAACCCCGAAGCCCAAACCCTGCACCTTAAAGTCGAGTGTTTTCGTGCGTTGGTGCTTGAATCGCATGTGGATGGATCGCGCATGATGCACGAATCGCTGGCCCGCTTGAATCCCTGGAACTCGAATCCCGAGTGCTTGAATCGCACTGCTCAAATCGCGCTTTTGCGAGGACAGACTTTGTCCCAGAGGCTTCCGCGAGATTTTGTCGCGCCCACCCACCTGCACAAGGCAAGAGGGACAAGTTACACACCTCTAGCTTTCGTCGAAGGCGCCTGGCTCAGCAGCCGCTGACCGATGATGGCGTGGACTGTGAAGCCTGCACCTTCACAAGGGAGTAATCCTACATGCAAGTTCTGTCGACTCTTGACACACATCACCCCTGCCTTCATAGTACTGGTAGGCATCCTCGACACCCTTCCAGTCAAACTTGTTCTGACCAGGCTTCGTACGCTTCAGAACGTTCTCTCCGTAGGTGCAACCAATATTGGCGCAGTTGAGAACAATGTGCTTCATGCCGGACGCGCCACTTCCTCAGCTAATCCTAGCCGACTCCAAGCAGCTTTGCCGGCAAAAGCCACCGAACCAAACTCCGAAGGCTCCGACCGGCTCCGACCGAAGCCCAATCCACTCAGGTTTCCAGCAGCACCTCCGCTTCTCCTTCCTTGCAGCTGCGTCTCGCTGTGGTGTGGCCGTTCCGGCAATGTCCGATTTCACTCCAGAGAGTCGTTCTGCATGTCTCCTGACATCACCGTGACATCAAAATATTCCGAACCCTGAAGCACTTTTGAGTACTACCGTTTCGTCATGTCTACTGTGACTGTGGTGATGGTTCGGACTAAGACCGTGAAGTCTCAAAGCATTTGCTGCCCATCCTGTAGGTCTGTACAAGCAAATATACTATGCTTGACGAGCGTTGATCGTAGCCGCCATCGCTATCCTACTACCAGTCATAAGACCAAACACAGCATCAGCGGCTAGCAGAAACAGCGGTAGTAGTACTGCAGTGGTGGTAGTAGCGGTAGTAGTGCGTGCTAGTAGTAGGTCGGTAGGTTACTAAGTCCGTCGGTCGGCAGGTCGGTAGGTCAAGTAGGTTGGTAGGTCAGGTCGGTCGGTGGGTCGGTGGGTCTGTCGGTCGGTAGGTAGGTAGGTAGGTAGGCAGGCAGGCAGGTAGGCAGGTAGGTAGGTAGGTAGGTGGGTGGGGAAGCAGGCGGGTCGGTAGGTAGGTAACGGTAGGCAGGCAGCATCGACAACGAAAAGGATAACTACTCTGGCATTGTTGTGATCTCTGCTGCTAGCAGTCGTCTGCACTACCGCCTGGCCTTGCTTCTGCAACTTCATTCCGAGATGCCAGAGCATGGGCTCCGCATAGGACTGTGTTGCTTGAACTGGTACAGCAGGTGTGGAGTGACCACGAACCGTTGAACAGTAGTCTACACCAATACTGAGACAGAAGCCTTGAACCCTGCAATGCGAAGCTTGAGTGCATGGTGGCCCGAGCCTATCACTGCCTCCCAAACCCTAAACTTCTAACTTCGAAAGCCCCGCCTCAACTTCTCCACTGCGGCCTTGAGGAAGTCCTCTCTGCCACCGTGGCCTGTGAGGAATGCCACTACCTCCTTGGGCAAAAGCTCGTTCAAGATTGCGTTGGTCGTAGGCCAGGGGACTATGACTGTTATGACTGTCTTAAGTCTTCGAAGATGATTATCACGGATGTTGTTTTGAACATGCCTGGCATGGTGGCTAGGACTGTGGTGATTGTTCTTATTATGATGACTATGCTGCTGCTGATGATGGTGATGATGATGGCCTTCATTATGAAGAGAGATGTTACCATCTGAACCTTCTGGCGAGCCATCGACGCAAAATGGTACTTCGCCAGGGTACTACGCGTCTTATTATGACAGGCATACTGACAGGCATACTGACAGGCATACTCACAAGTGTTGTTGCTGCTGCCGCTCTTGGCCTCACATCACTCCTGTCTTGTCTGTGCAAGTAGTAGTAGTAGTAGTAGTAGTAGTAGTAGTAGTAGAAGCAGCAGGAGTAGTAGTAGTAGTAGTAGTAGTAGTAGTAGTAGTAGTAGTGGTAGGAGTAGTAGTAGTAGTAGTAGTAGTAGTAGTAGTA